CCTTCCGTTTTCCTTCTCTCTTCATTTTCCTTTCTTCTTTCCCCTCCTGATTTTTCCTTCCTTGCTCTCTTCCCATCTTCCCATCTTTTTCTTTGTCTTTCCCTTTCTCCTTTCCTGTCCCTTCTTGCATACTCATATGTAAAAGGGGAAACATTTATCTTTTTGTTTTGTTTTTAGTTGCTTTGCTAGCCCTCAGTCAGCGAAAACAGATCTCAGGAGGGCAACGAATGATCATCATGAGTTCTGTTTTGACTGGCAGAGGCTTGTGTGCTGATCCTTTGCTGTTTCTAGGGTGGCCCTGTGGGCGGGATTCCAGGGCCTTGAGTTAGACACCCCTGATCTAGCTTATGCAACTCTGCCATTATATAATGCCCAAATGGAAACCACGGGAGAATCAAGTAACTTGGGCCTATGGACTTTGTAGGCAATAACCCACCAGAAACAGACTGGCAATCACTGCAGCTTGTAGAGCAAGGGTGGTATACAGTCATATTGAGGCATACACATCACTATCCACATAGCTGTGGTCTGGACTGATTGAAGTTTCTGAGTGGTTGTCAAGGGCAGCCCCATGCACAGTCATTGCACCTTGAGGTGACTAGGAAATGGGTGATCGTCTAAAAAGTCTCCCAGTCAACTGGTGCATCGGATGGAGCTGAACAAAGTCTCCCTTGGCTATGCTGAGGTTATCTTCAGATGATACGCTACTGTGGAGTGAGGAAGTGCTACTGCATCTAAGAGTATGGATGGAAAGTTCTTGGGTCCCTAAAACCCACATTCAGGTCCAGCTACAGGTCTCCTGGCTGCCTTAACAATCCAAGGACTAACAGAGCAGAGAACTTTTTCCTCAGGTGTCACCAACCCAATCCTCCCAAATCACATAACGAGACCGAGCCCCAGGCCTTTCAGCCCAAATATTCTTAACAGAGGCCCTCTGGATGTAGTTGCCTGACCTCCCCATCAGGACTGGATCATCCATGGCTATCAATGGACATGATAAGGACATCAGCAGCAGCAATTCCAAGCATGACCTTAAGCCCAACTGAACCAGAAGAATTCATAACCCATTAGCTCCAGAGCAGAACTTCTAAAAGACTTGTAGGGGGTAACAACATTATTGAGCATACACAAAAACGTCTTTCTGTTTGTGTTTACAGGCTCGAGAAAGAGAGAGAGAGAGAGGAGAATGGTTATATCTCATGAATATAGATAGTCCTCACTTAATAATGGTAATTGGGACTGGCATCGCTAAGTGATGCGATTGTAAACAGCAATGTCATGTGACTGCACAGAGTTACAAAGACGGTTGCAGCCGTTCCAGTTGTCAATGTTAAGCAAGTCACCTACAGTTGTTAAGGACGGCATCGAGCAACTCTGTCTTGTGATCCCTTGCTGGCTTCCCCTTCACTGTGCTTATCACAAACAGCAATCACATGATTGTGAGGCACTGCGACTGTCATAATGGCGAGCCTGAATTATGAAGATCGGCCACCAGTCTCATTTCAGCAGCATTGTAACTTCCAACAGTCACTGAACAACTGGTTCTTAGGTGAGGACTACCTCTACATTCTCACTAAGAATTTTGAAAATTCAAGGTTATTATCCCTCAGACTGAAATGATCTATCTGGGCTTAATTCCAGTATGTACCACACTTGAAGCAGTCAAAATGATTTTTAGAGGAATCTATGCAAGATGCCCCATTTATTTACTTGTTTATTTAACATAGTTTGATGCTTCAACAATTAAAATTAGGTTGGGTGCTTACCTAGGAAAAGAAAATACTAGATGTGGGCGCAGAGATTAAGGTTTTGCACGATTATACAATCTGTCCCTAAAATACAGAGCAATCATGTTTAAGTGATGTATGATGGGATATGTATGTTCTGGTATGGGGCAAGATTGCCTATGTGGCCTAAGTTCTCTCAGAGTTAGTGTTTGAGCTCTTCACCAGGTAAAAAAATGTGATGCCTTTAGCTGCTCTTTGTCAGAATGGGGTGGAATGTAAACCGGATTCCCAGGAGGGAGGGGCTACATTCCAGAGGACCAAGAGACAGCAAAATTTAGATAGTTTGGATGGAAGAGGCTCAAGAAGCTCCTCTCCAGAGGTTGTCAGAGTATATCTTTATTGACGCTAGTTGTTTGCTTTAATTTGGTAAGATTTCTGTCCATAAATGAGGAGCAATAAAGGAAAATGCTTTGGGGTAACAGCGTGTATTTTTTAAAGTTTTGGAGCCTGACACAACTTCTTGCATTGCTCTTCTTGATCAAGCCTCTAGACCAGGGGTGTCAAACTTGATTTCACTGAGGACACATCCGGGTTGTGTTTGACCTCGGGGGGGCTGGGATGGGTGTGGCCAAGGTGGGTGTGGCCAGCATGATGTCACTCAAGTCAGGGGACGCTGTGCCAGCGAAAATGGGCTCCCCAGCTCCATTTCCAGCTGCAATGGCCTCCTGCAACTCTCTGCCAGTGAAATGGAGGGTGGCAGTATGAAAAAGGAGCCCTTGTGAGCTCCATTTTCGCTGGCAGAGGCACTGTGGGCCGGTCCTTTGCTGTTTTCAGGGCAGCCCTGCGAGCCAGATCTAAGCACCCTGTGAGCCGGGTCCGGCCCCTGGACCTTGAGTTTGACACCTCTGCTCTAGGCCTTCAGAAGAGCTTTCAACTCTATTGACTGTTTCTCCTGTTCTTTCCTGTTCTTGTTGACCGTATTATCCAGGCAGTCAAAGGGGAACAGCGGGTTTATTTGCCTTTTTCATGAGCAGACATGGTACTTGTCCTAATTGTGCCTGTCATCTGCTTCACTTTGGGTTTTTGTTACGCAAGATTGGTCATTACTGGGCACCAAGGGCATCTTGCTCAAGAAAAATCACAGAGACGTACATAGCAAGGCAATCCTTTGATTTTTTTTTAAAGCAAAAATGTTGTGAATCACTAAAGAAATTGAAAGACTTATTCACAATGATGAACTTTAACATACAATTCTGATGATTTTGTGGTGAAATATGCAGAAGTAAGTGGCTTAAAAAAAAAACTGTTCAGAATGTTTCGGAAGCCAAAGATGAAGATCCTGGAGCTATAATGTCACAACTGATAGTGGAAGCATTGCAGAGAGAGTGGCAAGAAATTGTGAATGAACTTGATGAGGTCTACCGAATACACACAAGTTATGTGAGGAGACACAAGTGGCCGAGAGAGGTGCAAATAGAATTTGCGAGGTGAGGGACATCAACTACAAGATTACAAAAGATGAGCCGATGACGTACAAAGATAAAGAAATAGTGATCTTGAAACAAATTCCGAGATGAGTGAGAGAGCAAAGAAGACTATAGATTTTTAGCAGCACTTCTAAACAAACCAAATATATGGTTCAAATGGCTAGTCCTGGAAGGAATGTTGGTTACTTGGCAAGAAAGAAGAATTAGAGTTGATAGCATCGACAAGGCGCAAGAACTGTACAAGCAATTTGTGGGATCAGAAGAAGAAACTAGTAGCAAGGAAGAGCTCAATAGCAGAAGCCAAGAAGAGAAGCAACAGGAGATACAGGAAGGGGAACAAGAAGAAAAAAGTAAGGAAGAGAGAGAGAACAACCAAGAAGAGAAGGACTAAGAATAAGAGGTACACATCCAAAAACAGCATAGAAAATGCTTAGATCACTCCAAACCAGGAGTATTTTATATATATAGCATTGGCGGATCAAAAAAAAAAAAAGAGGGGTAGTAATGTATATTAGAAATGGGATAATTGCCAAACAAATTTATGCATAAAGTTGGTTTATTTGATCAAATTTAAAATAGACGTTCTTTCTGATAGTTTTCAATGGGCTTTTCTTACATTAGAACAGGGATGTCAAACTCGCGTCATCATGGCGTCATCACGTGATGTATCAGGACTTTTTTCTCCTTCGCTAAACCAGGCAAGGGTGGGACCAGCACGTGACGCATCTGGCCCCCGGGCCATGAGTTTGACACCCTTGCACTAGAATGATGCTCTATGGATTTGTTTATATATAAGAGATGGGATATGGAAAGAAAAGATTGTTGTATTTTAAGAGGAGATAATATTGCTAAAAACGCTATGCTTGTGATGAAGTTAAGAAGTCACTTTATATATTTACTTTCTTTTTTGTTACTACATCCTTACTTTTTTTTTTTTTTTTTGCACCTTCTACTCTTTCTTTATATTCTTCCAATTTTTTTTGTTTGTATGCGTTTCTAACTGATGTAATTATAATCTTTAATAAAATTACTATTGGACAAAGGAGCTCTTGTCAGTCAAGAATCAGGGACATGTGCAGTTTTAGCGACTCCAGTATGCTCATGTAACACCATAGCTATGTGAACTGTTGTAGCTTCTGCATGCAATTCAAGGTGTTGGTTATTACCTTTAAAGCCCTACGTGACATGGGACCAGGTTATTTGTAGGACTGCCACGCCTAGCAATAAACATAGCCAAAAAGGCATTAAGAGTTGTTAACTAATCCTACGTAGCTTTTTCTCTGGTAATATCACACTACTAACTAGAGCATACAAAACATTTGCTAGACCAATACTCGAATACAGCTCATCAGTCTGGAACCCACATTACATATCTGATATTAACACAGTTGAGAAAGTCCAGAAATATTTCACAAGAAGAGTTCTCCACTCCTCTACTCGTTGCAGAATACCTTATGCCACTGGACTTGAAATTCTAGATCTAGAAAACCTAGAACTACACCGCCTTCAATCCGATCTAAGTATAGTATATAAAATCATACATTGCAATGTCCTACCTGTCAATGAAATACTTCAGCTTCAACCATAACAATACAAGAGCACACAATAGATACAAACTCAAGGTTAACTGCACCAAACTTGATTGCAAGAAATACGACTTCAGCAACAGAATGGTCAATGTCTGGAATAATCTACCTGACTCTGTGGTTTCTTCCCCAAACGCCAAAAACTTTAACCTTAGATTGTCTACTATTGACCCCTTTCACCCCTTTCCTAAGAGGTCTGTAGGAGGCGTGCCTACCGTCCCTGTCCTATTGTTTCTTTTTATTTTTCTTATATGTATCCATTTCATGTATTCATAACTATGTTTATACTTATTACTATTATCTTGTAAACAATTGACAAATCAAATAAATAAAAAAATAAGCCTAGGGAAACAGAATTACCTTATGGGTTTTAGAAAGCCGACTCATGAAGTAGGCATGGCCCCAAATCTGCTGCTCTTTCGCAAGGTTGTTAAGACTTGTCTGTTCCCCCAGGCACCGAAGCTAGAAAATTAATTATGAGAGCTGTAATATGGGTACATATTATTAGTGGTTTTATGATTTTACAATTTGCAGGTTTGTTTTTTTTAATGTAATGATTTTGCTGATCCACAAGTTTCTTGGATAGATGTGTGGCCATATAAATTGGATGAATCAAAATTGGATTAATAACAAATAAATCCTGAGTTTGAACTGAACCAATGCAAAAAAAAAAAATTAATAATAATTACTGTCAATTGTCATATAAAACTAGCCATTAACATTGGTTTCAATTTCTAGTTAACCTATTTGAAAATAGTGGCAAACCTAAAATTTGGATGACATGCTTCATCTTAAGAAAACCACTGACTATGGTTAATAACAAGCCAGTTAGGATGAGTATTAGAGAGGGGCCACGCTGTGTCTGTTTCATAACTTAGGGGTCCCCAACTCTTGGCCACCGTTCACTACCGGGCTATGGCCTGTTTGAAATTGGGCTGTGTGAGTGGCTGGCTGGAGAGCGCATATGCACACATCCCAGTTCCCCTCTCCCTCAGCCAGGCTGCCAAGCCTCAAATGTTGGGAATTGCTGATCACATGGTGGATGTCTGTGACCCAATATCTTCCTGTTAGCTTGCATTACAACTCTCACAATCCCCCATTGACCATGCTGGAATGAGGCTTAGGAGAACTATAGTCTAGAACCCCTGGTGGGCATCAGATTGCCTAACTCTGCTCGAGAACACCAGTGTACAATAGTTATCTTAGATGAGCATGAATATAATTGAAGTCCATGAAGAGAGAGGTATCTGGGGCCAAGTTACTTTCCTAAAAGATTTTTTTTTTTTATGTTCTGTGTGTTGTGTGTTTATGTTTCTGGGAGAATTAATAAAACCTTGCAGAAATATAGAATGAGAATAATGGTAATCAAGTCAGAAAGAAATAGATGAAATAATAATAATGAAATTGAATAAGAGTAAAGAGAAGTAAAGAGAAACCGGATAAGAGGTTTTTGTATGCTTATGTGGAAATGGTTTAAAATAGAATTATAGTGTATAAAATAAGGTTTTATCTGACTTGTTAAATTTATAATGGAAAAAGGTTTAAGTATGTAATGGTTAATGATGATTTGTTTGTTTCTGAAAAAATAATAAAACTTGTTTAAAAAAAAAAATAGTTATCTTAGAGTCATACAGTCGTACACTCCTAGGGCTGGTAGGGACTTCAGAGGTCTTCCAATTCTATCCCCTGCTCAAATGATCAAGAAGTCTATTTAGCTCAATATTCTAACAATGGCCAAATTCATATTGGAGACCCACAAGCAGACACAATAAATAAGCTGCCCCTTATTTTACAAATCACATATAGCTGTGTCACCTGGATATTTGTATCTTCCACTTCAGAGTCACTCAAAATGCTGATGACCTCACCACCATGACATACCACAAAATCTCACTGCGTGGAAGTTGCCAAAGGAAAGAAATAATTATTATTCAACCTCAGTGAATTGTTTTTTCATGTTATAACGCACGGAGCTAGAGTAAAGATTATTTCCTTTGTTTGGCAACTCCTTGTTCTGATTTGTGGGTTTTTACCAGGCTGAGTAGTTCTCCAGTGTAGCCACAGATTTGAGTCAGAGGAGCAGCTGATGCTGGGTTAAAGTAGAGCAAGCAAGTTAGCATTCAATGACCAATACAGAGTAAACACAATAGGTAATTGTCTATAGAGATTCTCAGTCGTCCAGGTCATGGTTGTCCCAAAGGTGCTTTTTTCAAGAGGCAACTGGACTTTCTGGTTTTCCTTTGAAGTCGTTTCGCTTCTCATCCAAAACCTTGGATAAGAAGCGAAACGTCTTCAAAGAAATTCCAGTTGCCTCTTGAAAAAGCTCCTTTGGGACAAAATAGGTAATATTTCCCCCCCAAGGATATACTGCAGTGATTCACTTAACAACTCTGTCGTAGCAAAATGGAGAAAAACTCACTTAATGACTGTCGCTTATGATCACACTTAAGCCAAAATTTATGTTTCTAAGCAAGACAGTCATTAAGTGAGTTTTGCTCCATTTTACTACCTTTCTTGACTGAGTTGTTAAGTGAATCACTGCAGTTGTTAAGTTACTAACACGGTTGTTCCCCGTTGACTTTGCCTGTCAGAAGGTCGCAAAAGGGAATCACGTGACCCTGGGACACTGCAATCCTCATAAAGATGAGTCAGTTGCCTAGCATCCAAATTTGGATCACATGACCATGGGGATACTGCAATAGTCTGAAAAATGGGCATAAGTCACCTTTTTCAGTGCTGTTGTAAGTTCGAACGGTCACTAAACGAACTGCTGTAAGTCGAGGACTACCTGTGCATCAATTTCAGGACAATCCAATCTAAAGCTGCCTCTCTACCATTGTATGCAATGCATTGATTTTTCAGCTGGCTCTGCCCTGAATTTGTTTTGGGGCTGTTGCTTTCAGACAACCTTTGCTATTTTTACAATGTCAATACAGGTAATCCTTGACTTACGGGCCATTTATTTAGCAACCATTTGAAGTTACAACAGGATTGAAAAAAGGGACTTACAACTGATCCTCACACTTACGACTATCACGGTATCATCACAGCCACTTAATCAAAATTTGGATGCTTGGCATCTGGCAGAATAACAGAATAACAGAGTTGGAAGGGACCTTGGAGGTCTTCTAGTCCAACCCCCAGCTCAGTCAGGAAACCCCCATACTATTTCAGACAAAGGCTATCTTGACTCTTCTTAAAAGCCTCCAATGTTGGAGCATTCACGACTTCTGGAGGCAAGTCGTTCCACTTATTAATGCTTCTAACAGTCAGGAAATTTTTTTTCCTTAATTCTCCTGGCATATTTTTATGATGCTTGCAGCTCCCCTGGGTCACATGATCGCCATTTCCTGCCTTCCCAGCTGACTTCCTGCAAGCAAAGTCAATGAGGGAAACTGGATTCACTTAACAACCACAGTGATTTCCTTAACAACTGCAGCAAAAGAGTTCGTAAGATCAGGCACGACTTATTTAATGACCGCCTGGCGACTGAAGTTCTGATCCAATCCTGGTTGTACACTGAATTATTCATCTGCATATGAATAATTCACTCTCCTACCTCCATTGCTGTCATCGGGATGTTCCTGCCCCTTTTTGAAGAAGAAAAAAACCCCAGATGTGCACTTGGGAGCACTGATTCTATGCTGCCTTCCTCTGTTGCAGGCCTTCCAGGCTTTTCAGCTTTCAGTCTCATCGATTTTGAGGCTCCTGTGATTTTCCGTGGGGAGGAAGCTGACCAGTTTGGCTATCGCGTCGTCCAGACAAAATTCGATGGGAATTCCTGGTGAGGATGGAGCTGATTACGTTAAGAACATGGTTCTTGATTTTTTTTGAAGTGATATGCATGTCTCAACTATTAATTCTAAAATAATATTTAAATATTAATTCAAAAATATTATTTGACATCCCTTTAGGCTGGTAGTGAGCGCTCCCTTCGCAGGCAATCGGACAGGTTCCCTTTTCCAATGCTCATACGATTCACAGAGGTGTCAACCAATTGTCTTCAACAGTAAGTGCAAGCTGAGATACATTTTTGACTTTCTCATGTATGGATTTTTTTCCATTTCATTTTATAAAAAGAGAGTTTCTTAAAGTACACTGGCATTGAAAGCTTAAACTGGTTTTACGTAAGTTACTAGGTTCACATAAATCCCTAAACTATAATATAGTTTGATTTTCATTAGCATGTTACACAAACCTAGTGGATATCATAGATTAGCACATCTGTGAACCCAGTTAATATTGATTTGTCAACAAACCATGATTAAGAAAAAAAAAATGAATTATTACGATTTGGAATCCAGTCCAACTGTAATCTAAGGGATTATATTTTATGAGATTAGAGGTAATCCTCAATTTACAATCTCAACTGAGCCCAAAATGTATGATGTTACGTGAAAAAATTCTTAAGTGAATTTGTCCCATTTTACGGCTTTTCCTGCCATATTTCTTAAGTGAATCACTACCGTTGTTAAATTAGTAACATGGTTGTTAAATGAATCTGGGTTTCCCATTGACTTTGCCTGTCCGAAGGTCGCAAAACGATTGTTGAACACTACAACTGCCATGAATATGAGTCAGATGTCAAGCATGTGTATGTAAATCACGTGACCATTGCGATGCTGCAGTGGTCATCAGTGTGAAAAATGGTCATGTCACTATTTTCAGTGCCTCTGTAACTTCAAACAGTCATTAAATGAACTGTTGTATTTCAAGGACTACCTGTATTTTCTTAGGACTCCAAGTTTAATTTTCTCAGTCTCCTCCAAAGACAGGGAATTATTGCAATATAATCTTATAGTGAGAATAAATTTCAAAAAATAAGGAAGGCTAGATGCTCTCACAGGAAGTAGGACACAAAGATTATTACGATTCTTCCCTGTGCTATTAATTAACCACACTTCATTATTTGTTTTTATTTTTTTAATATATATTTTTGCTACCTTTGCAATCAACTTGCAGAATTCCAGTTATTGGGTAGATTAGAAATATAATACGGTAGTAAAATCATTTTTTAAAAAATACATTCTTAGTAACTAGCATTTGATTTGAGCAACTCCTAACAGTAATGCACAGCAGAACACACGTGGCTGTGGGTCCTTGCTTCTACTCCAAAATCTCTTAGTCAGGCAAAGTTACAGAATGCATTTGAGCCACAAATAAGACCAACAAAATCCATCATGAGATATTATTTATTTCTTTAAAAAGCCTCCCTTGGTTAGATGTGTATGTTTGAAAGTGATAAGTCTGTAAAATAGAGACAATCAGAATAACAGAGTTGGAAGGGACTTTGGAGGTCTTCTAGTCCAACCCTCTTCTCTATCTTTTCAGATGCCAAGGTCATTCCTAGAATATCTTTGGGTCTTTCGTTGGCTGCTGATGAAGCATCTGAATCCAAAATAATGGTAAGCAATCATCAGAAGTAGAATTAAAACAGAAAATCTAAACACAATAAAAATATTAGTAGAATCTATGTCAGTCTGCAGAGGATGTGAGCCCATTGCTTAGAAAGGCTGACCTGCTCTGGGTGTATAATTCTTGTTGCTCTGCCCAGTAGTGGGATTCAAACATTTTTACTACCAGTTCTGTGGACGTGGCTTGGTGGGCGTGGCTTGGTAGGCATGGCAGAGGAAGGATACTGTAAGATCTCCATTCCCACCCCACTCCAGGGGAAGGTTCTGCAAAATCCTGTTCCCTCCCCACTCCACTAACCTGCTTTCCAGCTCTGTTCTCCTGTCAGGCAACAAAAGAAGACCCAGCTGATCAGCAGGGACTTGGGAGGCAGAAAATAGATGGGGACAGAGCCAGTCAGAAGTGGTTTTCTGAACTACTCAAAATTTCTGCTACCGGTTCTCCAGAATTGGTCAGAACCTGCTGAATAATACCTCTGCGAAGATTACAAGAGCTATTTGCGTTGACTCTTCTTATGCACAGGCCTGTGGTCCCACTTGGGAACGAAGATGTGGGCAACTTGATTATCTGAACGGCGTGTGTTATATTATGAATGGCATCGATGGAAATGTGAAGGAGATCCAGCCAGCTTTCCAAGGTCAGATGAGAAGTTCACATTTGCACATTAGATTTGAAAGCTAGGTTGTGCCAAGATCTTTGCTACATGAGAAAGGATAAAAATGGCACCCATCTCTCTTAGAAGGCAAAAAGCCAAGGCAAAAAGTTTTGCAAGGAATTATTATTCTCCTTCACTGTAAAAATGCCAAAGATAAGCACATTAAATAATTATTGGTGGTCTCTTGTGACACACACAATTTGTATTGCCAGAGGTAGCTATCTCACTCTGGTTTCTGGTCAAGCCAGCCATGACAAAAATCCAGGTTGGGATGTACAGATAATCCTCAAATTATGAAAAAATTGCATCCAAAATTTCTGTTCCTAAGTGACACAGTTGTTAAGTGAGTTTTGCCCCATTTACGAACTTTCTTGTCACAGTTGTTAAATGAATCACTGCAGTTGTTAAGTTACTAACGTGGTTGTTAAGTGAATCTGGCTTCTCCATTGACTTTGCTTGCCAGAAGATCACAAAAGGGGATCACCTGATCCCGGGATATTGTAACCATCCTAAATATGAGTCAGTTGCCAAGTATTTGAATTTTGACCATGGGGATGCTGCAACAATCATAAGTGTGAAAGTGTTGAGGTAGTCCTCGACTTACAACAGTTCACTTAGTGACCATTCAAAGTTACAACAGCACTGAAAAAGGGACTTATGACCATTTTTCACAATTCTGACCGTTGCAGCATCCCCATGGTCATGTGATTTACATTTGGATGCTCGACAACTGGTTCATATTTATGACAATTTCAATATCCTGGGGTCATGTGATCCCCTTTTGCGATCTTCTGACATGCAAAGTCAATGGGAAAAGCCAGATTCACTTAACAATGGTGTTACTAGAATAGAATAACAGAATTTGAAGGGATCTTGGAGATCTTCTAGTCCAACCTGTTTAGTTCCTGCTTAGGCAGGAAACCCTATACCATTTCAAGACAAATGGTTATCCAACATCTTCTTTAAAACTTCCAGTGTTGGAGCATTCACAACTTCTGGAGGCAAGTTGTTCCACTGGTTAATTGTTCTAACTGTCAGGAAATTCCTCCTTAGTTCTGGGTTGCTTCTCACCTTGATTCGTTTCCACCCACTGCTTCTTGTCCTGCCCTCAGTTGCTTTGGAGAATAGATTGACTTCCTCTTCTTTGTGGGCAGCCCCTGAGATATTGGAACACTGCTCTATCATGTCACCCCTAGTCCTTCCTTTCATCAATCTAGACATACCCAATTCCTGCAACCGTTCATATGTTTTGGCCTCCAGTCCCCTAATCACACTCTTTCTAGAGTCTCAACATCTTTTTTACACCATGACAGCCAAAACTGGATGCGGTATTCTAAGTGTGGCCTTACCAAGGCATTATAAAATGGTATTAACACTTCACATGAACTTGCTTCTATCCTCTATTTATGTAGCTTAGAACTGTGTTGGCTTTTTTGGCAGCTTCTGCACGCTGCTGGCTCATATTTAAATGGCTGTCCACTAGGACTGCAAGATCCCTGTCACAGTTACTACTATTGAACAAGATACCACATATACTGTACCTGTGCAATTTGTTTTTCTTCCCTAAATACAGAACATTACTTCTTTCACCACTGAATTTCATTTTGTTAGCTAGCACCCAATGTTCAGGTCTATCAAGATCCTTCTGTATCTTAAGCCTATCTTCTGGAGTGTTGGCTATTCCTGCTAGCTTGGTATCATCTGCAAATTTAACAAGTGCAGCAATTCACTTAACAAACGTGTCAAGAAACATCATAAAATGGGGCAAAACTCACTTAACAAATTTCCATTTAGCAACATAAACTTTGGGCTCAATTGTGGTCATAATTCAAGGTCTACTAGTAATCATATGGGAGAAGAGGTTTAATACAGGAAATTCCCTTAGAGTCTGCTACCCAGTAGAGAGATCAATTTTCTTTTCTTTTCTTTTTTTAAACAAATTTTATTAATTTTTAAAAGCATACAAAACATACAAGATAAACATAAAACCTTTTTTCTAAAAATTTCTAAAAATTATTTGAAAGTTTTACAACATTAACACATTTCCTTACAATCACATATTTTCCCTTTCTAACTTGCTTTATTTTCTTCTATCTTTCTCTCCATTGTCCTTTTCTAACCTTTCTCCAAGGTTTTATTAACTCATTCAAACATAAACACATAAGAACACAAAACATATAAACATTAAAAAAAAAAAAACATCTTTTCTGAAAGTTGCTTAATCCCGGGTCAAAACTCTTTGTACAAACACCAACTCAAGTTCATATTCATTTTATATGCCATTCCATATCAATATTACCATTTTCAATTTTTTATATAGCTTCTTCTCTCTCTTAGATTCTCTTAATTTTATTTTATTTATCTCATCTCAATTCAAATCATAATATTTATTATTCTTTGTCTGTTTATTTCCAGCTATCGATTTATCTTTCTTCTTTAAAAAAAAAACTTCTCCTGTACACTAATTGGAGTATGACGCCTTTACCTCTTTCCCCTACATTTATAATACTTAATATAAAATACCTAACTTACATTGGGATTCTATTTGGTACATTCTAAAATTATACAATATTATCAATACCAATACTAATCTATTCATTAATATTCATATTCTTTTATATCATAAACACTTAGCACATTACTTTTCAATTAATTAACATACTTTTGTGGGAGCACCTACTTTCCATAATTATTCCCCCCCCCCCATGTCACATATTTTAAATCATTATTTCATTAAGGTATTCCTGCTTCTCCTACTTCAAATCTCTCCTTTCAAAAAAAAAAAATTCCACTGAAATAACACAATCTAATTAATATTGACATTCATTTATATCTTTCTCTCCAACTCCTTTATATCTTAACCATTTTATCCATTTCAATTAAATAACATGCCTTTTGGGAATACTTATATTTTCCACAATTATTCTCCCCCCCCCCCCATCATATCTCAAATCCTTATTTCATAAAATGTTCCCCTTTTCTTAAGACAAGTTTCACTAAGTTATATTAAACATTTAAATATTTAAACATTTTATCACACTTTAAATTACACATTATTTCCAACTTTCTAAAATTATTTCTAAATACAAATATAAAAAACAATCTTATGTACCTCTAGAATCCCTTTATCAATAAAGCTTACCCATTATCTCTAAAAAACTTTTGTTTCTTTACATCTTGCTCTCTACTATTGAGGCTTCTCATCCCCTTTCTCCCTTGCTTATTCTTCTCTCTGTCCTCTTTACCCCTTTGCCTCTCCACCTCCCTTTTTCTCCGCTTTCCTCCTTTCTGTTGTCTTCTAACATAATATCTCTTTTTCATCTTGTTTTTCTCTTTTTTGATTGCTTTTATAGGTCTTAAAGTCTCTTTTTCCTTTTTCTCTTTCTCCTTTCCTTCCCCAGCCAAAGTCACTTGTTCATCAAAAATGGCTTCTTCTTTGTCCCAGTCGTCCTGTTGTCCATTCAATTTTACATAAGTGTAGACCGCCATTTCTAAATACTGAAAAAGAGTATCAAAAACATCCTTCCCTTCTTGCTTTTCTTTCTCATATTTTTGATATAAAAGTTTCAATCTGTCCACAAGTAATGCCATTATAAAGAGAAAAAGTTTTCCCAAACAACCACCCAAGTGCTTTTAATCAGAGATAATTCTCAAAAGTGGTAAGATCACCAAGCAATCCAAGTAGGTTAATTCTTTTAAGCACTTTCTCCTTCACTTTCTCTTTCTGGGATTGGAGTTTGATCACAAAGTTCCATTTAATATATATCTTTCAGAAGCCTTGTTAGTATTTATAGCTCTTTAAAAATCCAGGCAGTCTTCTCCTTATTTTCAAATTCTAATCCAATTTTTCCCTCTCCCTTCCCACTCACAGCAAAAAAAATTTTTTTAATCTTTTAAAAAAAAAGAATCATTCAGAAATCCTTATCTCTTCAGTATTTAATTACCTAGATTTTCAGATTTCTCTTGTTATTCCATCCGCTGTCACGTTAGGAAGGAGAGTGAAGAAGAAAAAAAAAGTTCCCTTTTAGAATTCTATGCGCCGCTTGTAACTCTCTCTGGAAACAATGTAGCAACTTCTCCGTAGCAATTTTCAAGCCCCAGGAAACTTTCTTACCCCTTGGCAACTTTATCCCGGTCCAGAAACAACTCTCACAATTTCTCCGATTTTCTTCCTCCTGCACAATCTTATCCGTTTGCAGGTTTCTTCATGGCGGCCATTGCTGACCGCCGCTCCTCCGCCTCGGGAAAAGGGGGTTTTGCTGGCTGGGGAGGGGGTCTGCGACACCCCTTGCCCCCTTTCCAGATCCCCCCTGTCTTCAAACGGATCGGGGGAACCTTGGCAGTGAGCTCGGCAGGGATCGCGCTGGATCGCAAATCCCTGCCGCTGCCGAAGCCTCGCAAACCGGAAGGGCCGAGATCAATTTTCTTTATGAGTGAAGATTATTTGTCTGTCCATCCATCAATCCATCCACCCATCCCTCCATCCATCCATCCATCCATCCATCCATCCATCCATCTATCTAATTTATATGCCAAATATAGGAAACCCAGGAAAATTTTCCCACCAACGCCTGGGAACTTGCTAAACCAAGGTAATGCTAATTTTTATTCAATCTCTCTTCCTTCTTGTCCGTCCAGAGTGCGTCTTTGGTGTGGATGCTGTGATTTTATACGATGATTCTGGGAGCATTGAAGACTCTGACCTCCACACCATGAAGAACTTCTTCCTGAAACTGATGGACTCGGTGGCTGGGGCAGATGTGCAGGTGAGAGCAAGATTTGAGGGCATGCGGGGCTGATAGTTTCAACCCCTTTATGGAATAACCGCAGGTTGGCTTTGTGCAACTGTTGGTTTAGAGCTGCTCTGTGCAACCCAATATTGCTTCGTTACATTCTGAGCCCAAATTTGAAGGGTAATTTTCAAAGCTATCAGAGTCTAATCTCCAAACATGGCTCTTTCTGTGCAACTGTGTGTGTGTGTGTGTGTGTTTTATATTCCTCCATCTATTTGAAGGATGAGGTTAGGGTCTGTTGAGCAACTTTGATTCTTTTCCACTTACAATGGCTGTGACTTTCCACCTCAACTTTTTATATTTGGCATTTATGTCCTGGAAATGATTAGTCCAACACCTCTGGTGGGTTGAGAATAATTGACTACCTCATTTTCTTATGTAGATAGTCCTCGGCTTACAACAGTTCATTTAGTAACCATTCAAAGTTACAATGGCACTGAAAAAAAGTGACGTATGACCATTTTTCACACTTGTGATCTTTGCAGCATCCCCATGGTCGTGTGTTTTACATTCGAATATTTGACAACTAGTTCGCATTTATGAAGGTCGCGGTGCCCCAGGGCCGCATGAACCCCTTTGGTGACCCTTCTGACAAGCAAAGTCAATGGGGGAAGCCAGATTCACTTAACAACTGTGTTATTAGTTTAAGAACTGCAGTGATTCACTTAACAAATGTGGCAAGAAAAGTCGTAAAATGGGGCAGAACTCACTTAACAAATTTCTCACTTAGCAACATAAATGTTGGGCTCCGTTGTGGTTGCAAGTTGAGGACTATGGTACCTGTAGTAATATTTTTAAGAATTGCAGGCTGCAGGAAGAAAAGTGAGAGATCATTATGAGAAAATTACTAGAGTTTCCCCCAAGTCTATTGCTATGGATCTGTAGCTCCCATAATAAGTGCAGGAGAACCAAACATTGGATCAGGGAAGTTACTAAATATCTGTGTGTGTGTGTGTGTGTGCGTGCGTGCGCACACGCGCACTCTAGGTCAACATTAATCAAAAAAGGAACTTATATTTTTAGTCTTAGCCGCTAAGTAATTACTCAGTAGTGGAAATTCTTCCTTGATTTGTCACTGGACTAAGATAAAATTTTAATGTGAAATTCACAGAGAGATAAATCGTATTTTTGTTGGATCTCAAAGAATTACTGTGTGATGCAAATAACAGTAGCTGTAGTTCTGACAACTCTGAGGATAGATGGGGAATGTGACTAAATTTTGAGATGTGTCTGCTTTTGGTGGTTAGTGATAGCAATAGCACTTAGACTTATATACTGCTTCATAGTGCTTTACAGCCCCCTCTAAGCAGTTTACAGAGTCAGCCTATTGCCCACAACAATCTAGATTCCTATTTTACCGATCTTGGAAAGAATGGAAGGCTGAGTCAATCTTGAGCTTGGTGAGATTTGAACTGCTGAAAGTACTGCACTCTGACTACTGTGCCACCTCGGCTCTTGGTTATCTAGTATTCTTGTTTCTTTCCTGTCTTACACAATGTTAAAAGTATTTATATATACTGGGTATGTATGTATACAGTATATGTGTGTATACGGTGTGTGTGTGTGTGTGTGTGTGTGTGTGTGTATTACATGAACATCTTTTTTTTCTTTCCATCCCCAGTTTGCTGTGGTTCAGTACTCCTCTATAAACACACTTGTTTTTGATTTTGCGACCTATAACAACACGAGAGAGAAGATTAAAGATCTTATTCACAACTTAGGACGTTTCAAAGGAAAAACCTTCACTCCGTCTGCTATTGTCTATGTGGTGTGAGTACCAGAGAAGGGAAGGAGGGAGGGAGGGAAAAGTCTCTGATGTGCCTTATAGACCCACACAGTTGTGGTTCTCTTTACAGAGAAAAGGTCTTCACAGCAAATCGTGGCATGCGTCCTCACAGCAAGAAACTGCTCATTGTTCTGACGGATGGCATCTCCAATGACAGAAGGACTACATTTAAAGAGGCAACAGAAGCTGCCAACAAAAAAGGGATAATCCGCTATGCCATTGGGGTATGCAGGAAAATGGAGACAGTGGTTCTAGATCAACATTTCCCAATCTTGAGCACTTCCAGGTGTGTGGACTTCAACTCCCAGAATTCTCATCATTGGCCACACTGGTTGTGTGGACTGCAGATCCCAGAATTCCTCAGCCAACATGGCCACTGAAGAACTTTCTGGTACTTGAAGTCACATATTTGGAAGTTGCCAAGGTTGAAAAAACTGCTCTAGGTGGATCACAAACAAGGACTATTGGAAATTGTAATGGCACCTTTGTCACAGCCATCTTGTTAAGATCTGGTTTTATCAAAATGAAACTTTGAGCATTCCTTGTCTACAAAGAGAGGCTGGGCACACCCCACTGGGCAAAATCTAGCCAACCATAGGAGTTTCTTCAAAGTGTTCAAGACAATATTAATGATCTTGAAGTATTTTGCCATTGCTGGTTAAACATTTTAGAAGTTGAAGTCTGTCTGGAGAACATCAGGTTGGGGAAAGTTGATCTAAAAATTTTGGAAGCTCAAGAGCTTCTTTAAAAGACCGGATGCACTGGTTGGAGAATTCTGGGGTTTGAAGTCCATTCTTCTTAAAGTTGCCAAGGTTGGGAAACCCTCAAAACCTTTGAAATCTGCCCCCAAACTGGATCCCCTCATTGTCCACTTTTGGACTTCATTAGAAAACAGAAACCATACCTAGAATAGTGGTCCATTATGCTTAATATGTATCTAGCACCACCTACACTTGGTTTTTTAGGACCTATTATATCGGCAAATACTACCTCTAAAGGCTCTTTGGTAGTAAATCCATCAACTCTATTTGCCGGTATAACTTTGCTTTTGCTTTGATTGCAAGCAGAACATTGCAAATACTTATTACAAGGTTTTAAACTTATTCCTTTAGATAGTTGAACAGTTCTCTTAATCATTTTAAAATTTAAATGACCTAACCGTCGGTATAAAAAGTGAATACATTCATCATGAGGTTTCTTATTATCATAAACCGTGTTAGCCACCTCTAAACCATTATCATTTAACACATACAATTCACCTCTTAAAGATGCAGTAATTTTCTTACCTTCTTTTTCAATTAAGCAAGTATCTCCCTTAAAGGTAACAACGTATCCTAATCTAACCAACATTCTAACTGAAAGCAAATTAAATTTAAGTTGAGGTACATATAACATTTTTATGTTCTCTTTTATGCAAGAACAATATGCAATACCTTCACCTTTTGCTTTCATTTTCCATCCGTTTGCCAATGAGATATGCTGTGAACTCATGGACATTTTTACAAATGTTTTGTTATCATTTGTTATACAGTGGGATGCTCCACTGTCAACCACCCATAAATTATTTTTTACAACTCCATTACTATACATGGCTAACTCAAAATTTTTCTTTTTTCTTTGATGACTTCCAGTATTCTGGCTTGCATTCTGGCGCTTTGCTTTCTTACAAAATCTTGCCAAATGTCCTCTTCCTCCACAATTAAAACACTTTTTAATTGCGTATGCAGTAGGTTCATTATCTTCCTTTTGAGGTTGCTCCCTCCTTAACTGATCTCTTTCAAGCCTTCTTCTGGCCTCTTCAATCAATCTGCCAGTGATATCAGTTAAAGTTAGTCTTTCTTTAGGTAAAATTTCAAGGGAAGTTACGTAGTCATCAAAACTTTCGTCTAATGAAGATAGAATTATGTAGACCTGGTGTAGTTCAGAGAAAATAAGCTCCTTCTCGTGCAGTTCTTGAAAAATTCTTTTCATAGTATTCAAATGACTCAGCATATCACCATTCTTTTGGAGATGCGTCCGGAAAAGCTTCCGTGTTAGATTTATGTGAGCACCAACGTTATCTCGGACATAAATCCTCTTCAGTTTTTGCCAACACCCAACAGCTGTTTGCTCTCCGCGTATATGAACAAGTTGCTGATCAGATAGTGTTAGTCCTATGATGCAAAGAGCTTGTTCATTTTTCTGTTTAAAGTCTTCTATCTTTTGACTATCTTCCTCTTTTTCAGGATCCCATTCCTCTACATTTGGTGGGTTTTCAATTATGTTCCACAGACCTTCTCTTCGTAGAAGTAGACTACATTTCATAGACCATGAAACATAGTTTGTTCCATCCAGCTTGGATATAAGGGACAAACTTTGTAGACTGACTTGTGCCATGTTTCAATATATGGATATAAAACTATAATTAATAAAAACACAGCTGTCTGTTTACTGTAACGTGTAACAACACAAAATCTCACTTTTTACATAAACCTGTTTTTTATCCTAGTTAAACTGACTTTGCAGTCTCTGGGCCCATAACCAGTGTTAAGCCTGAATTCCCCAACGAGTGTTAAGGAAAACAAACTAAACAGAATGTGTAGCGTAGTCAGATAGGCAGACAGGTAAATGTGTGAGATAAGTTTGTATTTTAGTTAACACGCAGTAAAAAACAGATACGCTTGTGCTATCAAAAATATAGTTTATTCCATTAGGAATTATAGCATAGTCAAAATAAACGGTCCATTAGTCATGTATCATTTCAGTCAGTCCAGCCGAGGATACTCAATTTGCAAAGTCCGTGTTGAATAGCCAATGTCAGTTCACTTACAATAAATCAGTCCGTATTATCTCTTCTCTCCGTTGAGAAATCAACACTCTTTTCTCTCCTCCGTTCCAGTAAGGAAAAACGCAGTCATCAATCCATCCAGTAATTAGGGATCATTAAGCCAGAGAGAGAGAGCTGCAATTGACTTGCTTCTTTTATGGTGCTTTTACAACCACACCCTTAATTACATTCTTGTAGTTAAAGTTACACACACTTTAACCAACAAACCATGATAACTTATTTATTATTTTTACCCAAACCAGTTAGGGTAAACAATGTTATCCCTAACAGATGACCCTTGATCTGCTGTTCAAAACATGGCAGTGGTAAGGTCCTGGTTTATGGCTTAACATGTTTTGCAAGCCCAACCTCTGTGGCCTGTACAACTAGCTAAATCAAACCACAGCTTAGTATGAAGGAGGAATCCACCCATTTTCATCCATGTTTATCTATTATTGGTCAGGATAGCAAAATAGCTCTTTTTTTAAGTTGTAAGGCTAAAAGCAAGATAACCAATATTTCTGTTTGACTTCTGACTTATCAAGGAAGACTATGGGAACAATGTATTGGTAGATTCCAGGGCTTTTAAGTCCTGGAAACATCCTGGATGAAACTGGCCTAAGTGGTAGCTAGAAAGGGAAGAGAATGTGGAGTTCTAGGAAGTTAATATAAATTTGTTCTTACCTGTAATCCTTGACCTACAACCATTCATTTACTGACTGTTCAAAGTTAGAACAGCACTGAAAAAAGTGACATGACCATTTATCATACTTATGATTTCTGTAGCATTCCTCCTAATCATATGATCAAATTTCAATTGCTTGGCAACTAGCATTTATTTGCAGTGTCCCACGGTCCTGTGATCCCCTTTTGCGACTTTCTGACGAGCAAAGTCCATAGAGAAGTCAGATTCACTTAACAACCATATTACTAACTTCACAGCTGCAGTGATTCATTTAACAACAGTGACAAGAAAGGTCCTACATTGGGGCAAAACTTATGTAACTGTCTCACTTGGTAACAGAAATTTGGGGCTCAGTTGTGGTCATAAGTTAAGGGCTACCTATATTATCCCGTCCTAAAGGTGCTTTTTTTCAAGAGGCAACTGGATTTTATGGTTTTTCTTTGAAGACATTTTGCTTCTCATCCAAGAGGCTTCTTCAGCTCTTCAGAGAGAAGAGAAGAAGCTTCAAGAGCTGAAGAAGCTTTTTGAATGAGAAGCAAAACATCTTCAAAGAACCCCCCTCCCCCCCAAAAAAAAGTCTCTTGAAAGAAACACCTTTGGGACAACCATGACCTGGATGACTGAGAATCTCCATCGATACATTATCCAGTGTATTCTTCTCCTTCCCTTGTATCTATCAGGTTGGTCAGAATTTCTTGACAGCTCAGGATGAACTCCGCAGAATTGCTTCATCAAATGAAAATGTTTTCCCCGTGGAAAGTTTTGGCGCCCTTGAACAGCTTCAGAGACAGCTGAAGGATAAGATCTTTAATATTGAAGGTTTGAACTCCTCCTTTTCCAATCATTCTTCTGATGCTCTTTGGGGGGTGATTTTTTTAAAAAAATTCTTAAAAATTTCTTTTGCTGGCAAGCTATAAGAGCTTCTCTGTGATTTATTTCAAGGCTGAGACAAATAAAAATGATTTATCTCAAGGCTGAGGTAAATTTTATTGAATGGAGAGCCAACCCACCTTCGTTCTGCAGGGGAGCAATAATTCAGCCCATCTCTAGAGACCCGAAAAAGATAATAAAAAGATAAATGAAACTTTTAAAATTTGGCAAACTGTTTGCTCATGAGGGAACAAAAGCATTTGCTTCATTTAAGACAGATTATGTTACTAGAGGTACTGCTCAGCTTCTGACTGGCTGGTTAGTGACTGGTTGAAATTACAACCTATCTCTAAGGGTGGTTATGACCCAGATTTGAAGTTCCTCATGTCACATGACTGCACTTCAGGTGCTTGGTAACATGGAAAACTGGCATTTCTGCTTTTTGGCAAAACCGTACCGTAGTGAACAACGGTTTTATTTAACGACCACAGCATTTGCATACTGGCCACAGTGCCCACACTTAAACACTGTCACATTTGCTTACTGGCTGCTCCTAAAAATGTCCTAAAATCGGGTTGGTTATGTGACTGACCCATTTTACAACCCTTACAACTTATGACCATAATGGGGAGATTCCATTATAGTTGCAACTCAAGGGCTGCACCATCATGACATCACACAACAGGCCTCAAAGCAGCAGAGCTCATAGAAGCCATGAATAGCATCGGAAATTGCATAAATTTATTACATGATTTATAAAATTCAAGTATTTTGGTGCTGTTGTCAATTGTTGTTCTTATTCATTATTTTTCTACTTTAAAAAAGGAGTCTCTAAACCATCGCCTGATGCTTCAGCCAGCAGTTTTTTTGAGAAAGAATTTTCCCAAGGTGGATTCAGCTCCCTTCTTACACCAGTGAGTAAACTAATACTAATTAATATCCTTTGTGAAAGTATAAGCTTTCATCATGTTTTTTTTTTCTAAAAAAGGCTAAAAAAGCAAAGACAGGCATGGCATGGATGTTTTAAACACCCATTCTGATCTGTAAGGTAAAGGTTCTCCTCGCACATATGTGCCAGTCATTTCCGGCTCTAGGGGGCGGTGCTCATCTCCGTTACAAAGCCGAAGAGCCAGCACTGTCCAAAGATGTCTCCATGGTCATTGGCCAGCATGACTAAATGCCGAAGGCGCACAGAGCACTGTTACCTTCCCACCAAAATGGTCCCTATTTTTCTACTTGCATTTTTACATCTTTTGAACTGCTAGGTTGGCAGAAGCTGGGACAAGTAACGGGAGCTCACTCCGTTACGCGGCACTAGGGATTCAAACTGCTGAACTGCTGACCTTTCTGATGGACAAGCTCAGTATCTTAGCCACTGAGCCACCGCATCCCTTTATTCTGATCTGTAGTACTTCTCTAAAGCCAAAGGAAACAGGAGGGAGGGGTTGAAAATTTTGCTGTGTTTTCACACTGAAAGTCATTGGTGACCCATTATTTGTTTACTACTATTTTAAGGAAAAGAATCATAATTTTGTTTTAAAAATCCTGTAGTAGGCTGCTCTGAACCCATAGGCAAGAGGAAGAAATAAGTTATTAAAATACTGTATGTACCCGAAAATAAGACCCAACTGGAAAATAAGCCTCAGCATGATTTTTCAGGATGCTCATAATATAAGCCCTACCCCAAAATAAACCCCGGTTAAGATTCCAGCTGGGCAGATGCATTTAGTCCCGTATTTTCCCCAAAATAAGACCTAACCAGAAAATAATCCCTAATACCGCTTTTGGAGCAAACATTAATATAAGACCCGGTTTTATTTTGGGGGAAATATAGGTAGTTTCCTTGTGGGTGAGGGAATGGGGATTTATTTATTTATTTATTGCATTTTTGAACCATCCATCACCCTCACAGAGAGACTTTTAAGTAGTATACAATAAAAAAAATGCCTGGCTTTTTCAGGTTTCTCCCAAATTTTTCTGGTACAGGTAGTTCTCGATTTACAACAGCTCATTTAGCCACTGTTTGAAATTACAATGACACTGAAAAAAAGTGATTTATGACCGTTTTTAACACTCATGACAGTCGCAACATCCCCATGATCACATGATCAAAACTCAGGCACTTTGCAACCCGTTCATATTTATGACGGTTGCAGTGTCCTCAGGTCACGTGATCATTTTTTGCAAACCTCCGACAAGCAAAAGTCAATTGGGGTCGCAAGATTCACTTAACAACCATGTTACTAACTTAACAACTGCAGTGATTCACTTACCAACTGGGGCAAGAAAAGTCATAAAATGGGGCAAAACTCACTTAACAACAAAAATTTGGGGCTCCGTTGTGGTCATAAGTTGAGGACCACCTCTACTTGGTGACAAGGCTACATGTGCATATGAGGGTAAATGAATTGTCCCTCTTTCATCTCTTCCTTGTTTGCTTTTCCCTTCAGGAACATGCGGTGACTGGAGTCGTCGGTGCTTATAGCTGGACTGGAGGCTTAGAAGAAACATCCTTTGAAGAACCTCCCCAGACCCAATTCCTGAACAGCAGCATCAGTGAGTCCTATATAGGTGAGCGATGGAGGCAGGTCTTTTTCTCCACCCTCTGCCCCTAAGTGCTGAATTGGCCAAATCCATGAACCACAGGTTGTTTCTTCTCTTTGCTGGACAGGTTACTCTGTGGCTTTAGCTCGCTTTCACCAAAGGACCTTCTACATCACTGGAGCTCCTCGGTTCCAGCACGTTGGCCAAGTCCTGGTCTTTGAAAGCAAAAGTGGACGCCTAACAGGGAATATTCAGGGTCAACAGGTAAGGGAGGATAGGAAACGGAATGCAGATCAATCTTCACTGTCATGACGGAAGGATTGTAAAAGTTCTTCGTGGAACTTTTGTTTTGAATCAAGGACAGGGTTTCATATAATTAGTCTGCATCCAGCAGAGGTTCTACTAGAACACAAGCATAGGTGGAAGTGAGAGAATTGTTACCAGAGACAATTCATAGTAGGGGACTCCTCAGTTTAAGTAGTCCTCATTTAATGATCAGTTACTTAACAAGCATTTAGAGTTACGACATTCAGAGTTACAACATACTTCCCCAAAGCTACTTACAACCCAGTTCTGAAGCTCCAGTGGCTGCATAATCACATACACAACTGCAGTCCTGTGTTTGCTTTTTGGACGCTTGGGAGCTGCCCTGCATTTATGGCTATTTGCAGCATCCTATGGTCAAATGGCCACAATTTTCACGATTTTTTTTTGCCAGTCCTATTTCCGGCAAGAAAATAGGTGCGTTTAATAGGTGAAGAAAATAGGTGCATTTAATAACCACTGTGTTTGCTTAGCAACTGCAGCAAAAAAAGTCATAAAATCAGGGACGTTCCTATGGCGACCCAGTTAATGACTGCTGTGACTTATAACCATAATTGAGGCTCAGTTATAGTTATACAGTAAGTCAAGGACTACCTATATACTGTTGGACTTGCTGGCTGAGCCTAATGAGGATTGGAATGCAACGCCAACTAGACAATCTGATTTATTTACTAATTTATTTGACAGACCCCATTTTTCTACGCAATCATGAGCATTTTAGATGGCTGACTCAATAAAAGTCAGTACAAAAATACCAATTCATAAATCAAAATCACCCCAAGCATGCGTTAACTATTAAAAGTTTGGTGAAAGAAATGTAATTTGGCCACTCTTGTAATGGACGGCGGAGTGGGAACTAAAGCACCACTCCTAAGGAAGAGCATCTACAGCTTGGCAGTGGTGCAGAATGAGGCCTTTTCCCAGTTGCCAGAATACCAAGTCTCTGTTAAGAAGATCTGTAGATTCCTGTGGCTGGGTAGATTCTTAATAATAGAATTAGGCTCCTTTGGATAATCAGATCCTCAGCTGATAAAACGTCTGCGATTGTCAGGGGCAAACAGCAAATAGCCACTCGTTGAGTTCGAATCAAAGCTTATTATTGCTACGTGGTCACAAGAATCTTGTTTTAGGTCTCTTTCGTGGGTGCTTTTGATCAAGTGGGATCCATTCTATGACTGCTTTGGTCCACATGCCATCAGTGCTTCTTGCTATGTGACCGACCGATTTCCGTTTCAATTCTTGTACTCTCTTGATGGCATTGCAGACTTTTTTTCTCTAATCCATGTGCAAGCCTTTCTATCTTGTCTTGTAATCTTTCATGTATTTTTCCATGGCTCTTTGCACCACTCGTAGCTTTTCTATCGGTTGTGAGGTTAAAGTCCATGTTTCACCAGCATGTTAGAACAGGTAGCATACATGAATTGAAAACTTTTCTTTTCAGGCAAAGCGGGGGGGTTATTCTTGAAAATTATGCTTGGCTTGGAGAAAACCTTCTCCACGAAATCCCAAAGGTACTTTTTCAGGAGGCAACAGGAGTTCCTTGTTTTTTTCTTTGAAGGATTTTGCTTCTCATCCAAGAAGCTTCTTCAGCTCTGACAGGATAGTGGGGAATGGAAGGATTTGTATTCCTTACAGACAGCTGGCCATTTGCATCCTTTTTAGAGAGTCCTTGAGGCCACTTGGAGGTTTATCAGTGTCCTCAGGGTCACCTGAGTAGTGCTCCTGGTTCCTGGAGCACTACTCAGTCCTCTTCCATGAAAGCGACCTAAAACAAGATGGATCGACGACATCAGCAAGTATTGTAGGCCCAATTGGCAAAAGAAAGCTCAGGACCGTATTGGTTGAAAACATGAGGAATAAGACCTCATCCTGCAGTGGACAGACAATGGCTGAAATGATGACGATGATACGTAAGAATCTAGTCAACTAACAGTCAAAGCTAAATCGGTGTTAGTGCAGTATTGTGTTGTTCTATGTCCAATCTCTTTTTACATACACACACACATACCACACACAACACCAGAGCGGAGAGATTGCCTAAACAAACTATCTATGGCTGGGAAGCCTTTCTTTGCGGCTCAACGCTTCCCTAAAAACGGCTAACCACAAAGTAATCAGCTCAGCTCCATGACCTTTATCTTGCATAATTTTTCTATTAAGACTTTTGAAAAGGAGATTAAAAACTAATATGAATTAATAGAGAGAAAAGAAATGAAAGAAAAGGGAGGGGAGGGAGGGAGGCAAAAAGCACAAGAAAGAAAGAAAGAAAGAAAAGACATAGAAAGAACCAGTTTTATGTTTTCTTTGCAGCGAATATAAGTACAGTTACAAAATTAACTCTTGCAAAAATAAAAGCTCTCTTCCCCCTACTTTATCTATTTCTTCTGATCGTCAAAGTCCTAAGTCATAAGACTGGGTTTTGCTTTCTTTTTGTGTGCAAAAAGTCACAAGACGTTTCCAGGCAGAAATAAACAGATCATATGATGATGAACCAGTAAATAATATGATGTCTCAACAGGGTTGCCATGCTAAAATGGCTGGATACAAAATGCTGGGCGTTGTATGATCCCACAGAAAGTGTTTTCTTCTTTTCAGGTGGGCTCATACTTTGGTGCTGAACTTGCCTCCGTGGACTTAAATGAAGATGGAAATACCGACCTACTTGTAATTGGGGCTCCTCATTACTACAATGGACACCAAGGTGGGGTTGTCTACGTCTCTTCCATCAACAACACGGTGAGTAAAACCATTGGGGGCTGGAGGAGAAATCCAGGATTGAGAAGTTTTCTCATAGTTGGTGAATTATCTTTCACTCCATCCGATCATTTTTTTGGAGGAAATACTTGGTAATCTTAGCAGGCTCTTTTCCATGTATTTCTGCCAAAGGAGGCAGAGCATAACAAAATCTTCAAGCCTTCTCCTTCACAGCTGTCTGATTATAGACTTTCATTTTTTAGCTTCAAATGTCAGCGTTCCAAGTAAAACATCCATTAAAATCAGAACTACGAGGCAGGCATATTCCTCAAAGAACATGTTTATTGGATACATCATATCGGTACAGCTAGTGAAAACCAACTCTAAAAGTTCCTGCCATTTTTCCCTAATTAAAAGAGCAAATATTTCCCTCTCCAGGTGTCACTGGTCACATTGTTCAATGAAAGTAGCTGGCAGGCTGCTTGGTCACTTTGAGAATGAGTCATGTAACTTTTTTTTAGTGCCATCATAACTTTGAATTATCTTTAAACGGACTGTTGTAAATTGAAGACTAGCTGTATTCACAGACACGCCCAAGGCAGCAAAATTTTTGAGTTGCCACTCTGCACATTTCTAGCTACTCTTAGTAATTTGCTTTCATCACTTGAGACTTTCAAGAAGAGATTGGACTGCCATTTGTCAGAAATGGTGTCGGGTCTCCCGTTTGGGTGGGGGGTTGGACTATATGACCTATAAGGTCCCTTCCAACTCTGATTATCTGTTATCTGCTAGTTGAAATGGCTATGAAAGTCAAAGACATCTTAATAAAACTTTTAAATGCTTATTTTTAGAACTTTATTTTTAATGCACACACACACAAACACATACACACACTAAATACAGCTAGTCCTTGACTTATGACCACAATTGAGCCCAAAATTGCTAAGTGAGACATTTGTTAAGTGAGCTTTGTCCGATTTTATGACTTTTCTTGCAATAATTGTTAAGTGAATCACCACAGTTATTAAGTTAGTAACACTGTTGTTAAGTGAATCTGGTTTCTCCATTGACCTTGCCTGTCAGAAAGTCACAAAAGGGGATCACATGACCCCAGGACACTACAACCATCATAAATATGTGTCAGTTGCCAAGCATCTGAATAGAAATCACATGACCACAGGGATGCTGGAACAGTCATAAGTGTGAAGAACAGTCATAAGTCACTTTTTCGAACGGACCCTAAATGAACTGTTGTAAATCGAAGACTATCTGTAAAGTGTCTTTAAACAAAAACACACATAAAACAAACTTATGTATGGATTAGTTGACAAATATGTGACCAGAGGCTGGTAGGAATGTGTCTTCCCCTAGGAACAATGGTTTGGTTTTGGCTAATGCAACATTCGCAGCATTTTTTGAAGCAACTGCTGCAGATAGCAAGAATTTATCATATGTTAGTTTAATCCATCTACCGCTTTGTCATATTATATTAGCTCATCTGCCCAGGTGCTTTTAATGAGTGTGTTTTTTGATATGAATGCTTAAATATAGAAATGTATGGTTATTTTTCACTTTTGTTAGGTCAACTGGATGAGATCCATGGAAAGTGGTTGATAAGTAGCAACGTAGAAAATAGGGAGGGAGGGAGGGAGAGAGAGGGAGAGAATAAAATAGAATAGTACAGAACAGAACAGGATAAAATAATTTGTTCCTGACCAACAATATAGCTAATCAGGCTACTAATTTCTGGGCCCCAAATGCTATATAAAGTCATATGTTTAAAATTCCTTCCATGTTTTAATTATTATATTTCTTATATAGTATTTAGATTATTATATTAATTTAAAAGAATAGAATAACAGAGTTGAAAGGGACTTTGGAGGTCTTCTACTCCACCCCCCTGCTCATAAAAATATTCTTTTAATGTAAGATGCTTAGTTAAGAAAGGAAGGAAAGAAAGAAAGAAAATAATCCACCCAACCATTGTTTGTGTGGCTAATAGCCTTGCTATCTTCTTCAGTATGTCCACAGGTAGCTCTGAAACAGAATAACAGAATAACAAGAGTTGAAAGGGACCTTGGAGGTCTTCTAGTCCAACCCCTTGCTCAGGCAGGGAACCCTATAAACCATTTCAGACAAATGATTATCCAATCTCTTCTTAAAAACTTCCAGTGTTGGAGCATTCACAGCTTCTGGAGGCTAGTAAAACTACACTAACTAATGTAACTCACGTGCTTCATTCCAGGGTGAGCTTGTTCTCCTTCAAATATTGCATGGAATCCCAGGTAATGGACTAGGCCGTTTTGGGGCAGCTCTGTCCACATTAGGGGATATCAGTGGCGATGGCCTTACAGATGTGGCCGTAGGAGCCCCAATGGAGGATGAAAATCGGGGGGCTATTTACATCTTCCTGGGTGAAACAGACCGACTGAAGGAAGTGCACAGCCAGGTAAGTCCAAATGTCAAAAATAAGTTAGATAAGAATACCCAACTGAAGCTTCTCTACCTGTGTTGATGTGTTCCAGTCTTAATGATCTCTTTTTTACTTCCTTCTTCCCCACAGCGGATTTCAGCTACCTCTGTTTCTCCCGGGCTCCAGTTTTTTGGACAATCCATCCAGGGAAGGTTGGATCTGAGCAGGGATGAGCTGACCGACTTAGCCATTGGAGCTCTTGGAAGTGCAGTGGTGCTTCGGTAGGGAAGGTTGGGGTGGAAATGGGCATGGACCAGATCTAGGCATTTTATGGCTCCCAGGCCACATCCAGCCCTTTGGCTGTCCCAGTCAGACTTGTGAAAATTGGTTTTATTTTGAAGGCAACTGCTATTCCACCCTGCCCACATTTTATCTATGTGCATGTATGCATGCCTAAGCACTTTCACAGCCCTGTTGGTTCAGCCCTTCACGACAATCCTAGTGTTTCATGTGCCCTCTTGTGAAAATTAACAAATGCATTAAGCCTCATGGTATAGAATGTGTGTTCAAAGTGTACTGATAGGGTAGAGTAGAGTAGAGTAGAATAAGAGTAGAGTAGAGTAGAGTAGAGTAGAGTAGAGTAGAGTAGAGTAGAGTAGAGTAGAATAGAGTAGAATAGAGTAGAATAGAATAGAATAGAATAGAATAGAATAGAATAGAATAGAATA